AATAAAAATCAATACGTCTTTTGTTTTATTTACCAATTTAATGTAAATTAAACTATTTTATGAAATTATATTTAGTATTAATTTAAGTAAATAATAATAGCACATATTAAGGAATCAATTATTAAATTAATTAAGCTCAAAATTTTCTATTGAAAGTAATTATGAACTTTGACCATATACATTAGGAAGAGGCAATCAATATAAACTTTATACCAAGTTTAAGCCCTCTATGAGGGTTATGTGAGACTGCGTAATTCACAGACCTGTTGCCCGTTCTGTCAATTGCCCTGGGCGGTTGCCCAACCACGCCCTAACCTGACACCGGCCCTGGGCCACGAATGATATTAAAATCGTATTACTGACAGAAAATAATATTTATGTGTACAGAATATTAAATACTTGTGCAGCCCTACATCTATAGATGCAAAGTGTCAGGTGGACGATCAAAATGCCATGTGCTTATTTATTACTATTTTTGCAATATAACTATATCTTTCTTTTGAAATTTTCTCCATTGAAAGGCTTAATAACTCGATGAATCTTTGACCAAAAATTTAATCGTTGAATGGACATTAAAAAGAATGATAAAAATAGTTCCATTGTTTGCTAAATAACTGTTTGATAAACAAAGGAGCTAATAAATACTTTTATTTTTAATTTCACAGTAAAGATCGTTCGGGATATGTTAACAGATTTATGAATCGATTCAGTATATTCGTATCGATTCCAGTAATCGAATAAAAAGTTTTTGACAGTGTAAAATGTATTTCATATCTCTACAAATTGGAATAAGAATCGTTTTAATTGTGTGTTTGTTAGTACAGTTTGTGACAATGAAGGATATTGACATAAAAAAGGTATTTTATTTATTCATAAAAATGATTATCAGTCATTTAAGGTTACGCATTCTTCCATTCCTCTTCCCGGCACGGTACGGCATGGGCTTCACAGTTCTTGCTTGCGTGAGTCGACAGCGCACGATTCCCGAGGCATCGGAGAAGCATCCACTATTATATTTTTTCTGTGCATCCTCTACTCTATCGATTAAAGGCAACGGTCACTTCGCTACTTCAGCGATTTCAGGTGGCCGCTCGCTCGTTTGCCACCTTATGATAAAAAAAAACTTCCTATCACCCCACGATCGGCGGTGGTCCTGACATAGGGCGGTGCTGGAAAGACGAGGAGTATACGAATGCGTGACAAACTTTAATGCGATCATCATGAAAAGATTTCTTTCAAGGATTTTGGCTCATATTATTTTTATTTTTTTATTATTTTAGAATCTAGCATCTCAAAATGATATTGACGAATACATGTCAATATCGAACTTGAGATTTCCTTCAGCGAATCTAAAACGAGTAAGTAAAATGAATATTTTATTTGTTATACGTATTGTTCAATGTTCTCCACTACTTTTATTAACTCTTAAGTCTAATAGAGAAAGACATGTGAAAAATTTTACTGTCTCTGTCTGTCTTTGAGAAAAATCATTCAACAATAGAGACAACATTTTTCCAAGAGTTTCGCTAGAGAAAGAACACACTCAAATTCTATTCATATTTTTCCAGATAAGCCGCCATGTTGAATTAGAGCAACGCGATGTTCTATCGCACATATTGAACAAGAAACAACATATTTTAAAAGACAACAAAAATCAATTCATGAAGAGAGCTTTGAAAATATTAGAAATCAAAATAAGAAGATTATTGAAGTTGAAGAAAAAATCTAGAAAAGCAACAAAACCTAAAATGTTGAATCAAAAACAGTAATTCAATATACTAAATTGCCTGCGACTTCGATTGCGAGGAATTAAAAACAATAATGATTATTTCGTTGTTACGGACACCCTACATTCTTATGCATCCTTCTAAACTATGTTCCGTTAGGAAAAAAATCCGACACAGTGCCGGTGTATCGGCGCAACACTACTTACTCCGCTGGCGCATCGATCCAAAGTGGGTCTTGGCCTCCGACACAAGAGATCGCCAAAGTCGCATGTCTTGCGCCTTCACCTGCCAGTCCCCGTAGCTCCCGCAGATCCAGCTCTATGTCCCGAGATATGCTGCTTACACTACACTAGCCTTATTAAAATTTCAATCACTCCCTCTCACTCACTAATCAATCTGACACTTGACTTGGAAACGAAAGCGCGCCATTGACACCAAAAGATTCTAACTAATAATGACTAAAAGTTCTATATCTGTGCCAAATTCCTTTCAAATCTATTTGATGATGTATTTATTTAGTTACTAAAATTCTTCCAAACATTCCCTCTTGCAATATTACTTAGTTTGCAACAAAATATCTTCTTTTCACTAAGAAACATCGCAACGAAAGAAATATCTTACAAATATGTTTTTGTCACATTTATTTATTGGCAAAGTACTCATTTCATTCGCTACCAAGTTTCACTAATAAACTAAGGACACATCGGAAAAGTTAGGTCTTAAATATGTCAAAATCTAGACTACATTTTCATTCGCTACCGCAAAATATTTTATAGCATTGAAAGCTTTTTATTACGAATAAATTTCAGTCTGTAAAAGTTGATTACAATTTATTTTATTTGAAATTAATTTTACAATTCGTATGCTGATTTCTTTGCTTAGGATTTTAACTAACTACTAGATAGAAAGAATAATCTTAAATATGCCCTTTTTTATCTTCTCAAAAACTTTTTAATAGTCGTTTGGAATTAATCATTTAAAATACACAGGGTCCTTCAAGAAGCGAGCTTATGTCATTGCTAAAGGCCTCGAACACATCTGCAGTTCCTCAATCGGTGTTCCCTCCACTCGTTTATCCCCTTCTCTTATATAAAACAAAAACAAAACACTAACTCTACCAGATAATGCCCAAAGGAAACTGAATTGTAAGAAAACTTATATTTCAAATATTCCAAGAGCGTCGGTGGCTCAGGGGTTGAAGCACTTGATTTGTAATCTGCAGAACCTGGGTTAGAATTTTCCTATGTACCAATTTTTTTTTCGATTCTCGATTTACATATATACATTTATCTGACGTCCTTACGGCCAAGGAAAACATCGTGATGCAACCTGCACATATCTGCGAAGAAATTCAAAGATATATGTCAAATCAACCCGCACTGGGCCAGTGTGGTTGACTATGGCCTAATCATCCCTAACTTAAGGTATGATCCGAGGCCCTCAGTTGCGGACGTATAGTGAGCTGATGATGACGATTACATTCCAAAATCGAGTAACGTAAGCCTCAAGAAATAATATAATAGGATGGACTTATTATAATATCAAAGAAACATGTTCTGTCAGAAAAATATTTCTTTCAACTTTCTTCTTCTTAATTGCAACTCAAACAGAATGTTATAAAAACCCTTTTTACCTTAAAGCCTATTTAATCCAAATGTCTAGTTTAAATTCAACTGGAAACCGCAGACGCGAAATTAACGCGCCGAATGAATTAGACTTTGTTATTTATGCATTTGAACCTTTTCCCGTATTTAAATCCAAAAGGGTTTATCTTTTAATTAATTTAAGATGAATTCTCTTAATCGGGAGAATATGGATACAATTATTACTTATACTAGCTGTCGCCCGAGACTCCGTCTGCGCGGTAAATAAATGTTAATAAGTAGCTTAAGTTTTCTTCTAGGCTATCTACATCTATGAAAAATTTCAGCGAGATCCGTTCAGCAGTTCCGGAGATACCTTCATACAAACATCCATCCATCTAAACATTCGCATTTATAATATAACTAAGAAGTAAGATTATAAACGCGAACGCGTTTGGATGGATATTTGTCAGAATGTATATCCAGAATAGCTGCATAGGTCTCGTTGAAATTTTTGCATACATACATAATCTTAAAGAACACATAGGGTAATTTTTTTGTTTGCACAGACAGAGTCGCGTCACTAGTTGATAATATAATAAACATACAAAGTTAGTTTATGTTATGACATTTTTATTACTACTTTAACGATACGACCAGAGGTGATGTGTAATCGTATATCATAAATATAGTTCAGTACTCACTGATTATAATGTCTTTCTCTTTTCTTTAAAATTACTAAAATATAAAAGTGAAAAATATTGTGCCAACTATCAACTTGGATATTTACTTAGGTTAGGGTTGTAACTCTGCAAGTTTAAAGTTAATTAAAAACTTAAATTAGAACCGAGATGAAGTCTAATTTTTGGTACTTTATTACTTTTGTTAATATTTTAAGAAAATGTTTTATTACATGGTATTTTATTAAATTATATTTAAAATAGAAACTTTAAAATTTTAATAAAATTATTTATCATTATTTGATTCTGCTCTTCTTCAAATACGAATAACCCATAATCTTTTTATATCTATACATAAATACATACATATCAAAATAAGAATGTCTGTATGTAATATCTTAAAAAATATACATATTTTCTACATATGAAGTATTTACGTAGTGTTTTTAAAAGTCTGTCTGTCCGCAAGACTTTTTTTTTATATCATAAGGTGGCAAGCGAGCGAGCGGCCACCTGAAATCGCTGAAATAGCGAAGTGAACGTTGCCCATAGACATACGCAGTTGCATATGCGTTGCCTACCCTTAATCGACGGAGGAGAGGATGCACAGAAAGAAAATATATCCCTTTCCATGCAACCTCTCATCCGGAAAGTCCACTTACACTTCCCATCCCCTCCTTATAAGGAAAAGGGTGGGAAGGGAAAGAGGACTAAATTAGGCCTCCGGGACGCACACTCATCAGACAAAACGCGGAATTGCTTCCACTTGACCTGTCTTCTGTGTGGTCGTGGTATTTCACCGGGCGAGCCGGGCCAATTCGTGCGAAGATGTTAAAGCGGGCTCTACCACTGTTAAACTGACTGCGTTTGTTTCGGGTAATCTCCGGAACGGCTGGATTGATTTTGACGGGACTTGGACGGGAAAGGTAGCTGATGAACGGGGGCATGTAATAGGCTAATTTTTAATTTTGCGCTATTCTAATTATAGTTAATAAATAAAAAAAATCGTGACGTATTCAATTATTTTACTATATGTACTACAATATCAGGCTTACGTCCAATTTCATCGACTTCTTTCGAACCCGACATATTGGAATCTTTATTTTTATCGCTAACCGTCTTCACAAACTTTGCTGGTGGCTTCTTTCGTTTCATCTTATTCTTTGATATCTTCTTCTTCTTCATCATGATGTATTTCTCCTTTTCCTCCGTTTTCTTCCATTTCTTTTTATGTTTACCAATCTTTTTAATTAACAGCTTAGGCATTTCCCTTTCTTTATCTAATTCGTATACTTCTGTGTAGTTTTTTAATCCTTGAGGATAGTCCTAAAAACCGAGAAACTGTGAAAATCTTACTAATATTATAAATACGAATGTTTGAATGGAAGTATAGATGGATATTTTGTTGTTCGCTGTAATTTTTTAAAAATTCAAAGATATGTGTGAAGTCAACTAACTCGCACTTGGCCAGCGTGGTGGACTATGGCCTAATCACCCTTAACTTAGGGTAGGCTCCGAGCCCCTCGGTGGGGACGTATAGTGAGCTGATGATGATGTAATTTTTTATATAAGAGAAGGGGGCAAACGGGCAGCGGGAACACCGAGGTGTTACCATATATGTAGAACATAGTCTTGAAGAGCACATAGTCTAATAATTGAGCTTTGTAATACCGCGCGGGCGGAGTCGCGGGGTACAGCTAGTTAATTTATAACATACCTGAATATCATATTTCCCATAATATTCACCAATATATTTCTCCATTAATGTATGATTTTTTGCATCCACCTAAAAAGTAAATTAAAAATTACTCATGAAACATTTTTAACAAAAAATTCCTTTAAGAAGAATCAAAATTAATTTAACACAATACAATTTAATGTACAGTAAAAACTGAAAATGTGTATCGAGCTTGACAATTTCCAATTAATAACATAGCCTGAAGTCTACCGGAGGCCTAAATTTAGGCCTTTTTCGCTTCCCTTCTTTTTTTATAAGAAAAAGGATGGGTAGTGGAAGTGAATTTTCCGGATGAGGAGATGCACGCAAAGGGAAAATATTCTCTTTCTATGCATCTCCTCTGTCGGTTTAAGGTAGACAACGCATCTGCGATTGCCTATGTCGATGAGCAACGGTCGCTTCGCTATTCAGCTATTTCAGTTGGCCGCTTTTTCGTTTGACACCTTATAATATAAAAAGAGTATGTTTATAAGAATGTGGATAGCGAACGACGTGTACCAATCTGCCTACCCTTCTAGGTAACGGAATTGAGTTGTGTTGTAGTACATGTAGCATTCGTTGCGTTATATTTGGCTCGGTCACGTACCGACACGTGTTGCCGGTCCAAAGGTCTGACATCGACTGACGCCCCCTCTCTCCGGCATGTACGCTCGAGACAAACAACACAATATTTATGCATATACTACAGTACATATTCTAGAATATACTAATCAATATTTCGGTTCACTGATTTGGGTCATGAGATATAATTTCCCAGTAAATTAGCGTGAGCTGCAGCCATCAGTTACGAGCGTGAACACAACACTTAGAAATTAATCGCAATTCCCAACTAATCAAAACTTCTGTACAAAGTTTGTAGTAATAGGCAGATAGACTAAATTGCCTGCGGTGACAACTAATGTCTTCCAATAATTAATACTATTACCTACTTGTAATTTAATTATTGTAGATTGAATATTGGTTAAATACATAATATATAATTATTAACTCAAATTATTAACCCGATTTTTCTGTAATATTACATAAGGCGGCAAACGAGCGCGCAGCTCCCTGAATTCGCCGAAATAGCGAAGCGACCGCTGCCCTTAGACATCCACAATTACAGATGCGTTTCTTACCTCTAATCGACGAAGGACGCACAAAAAGTGAATATTTCACTTTCATGTGTATCCCTTCCTCCGTCAGATCCACTTCCCTTTCCTTATAAGAAACGGTTGGAAAGGGAAAGAAGATTAAAATTAAGCCTCGGCACCACACTCATCAGACTGTACACGGAATGGCTTCCACTTGACGCCCGTCTTCTGTATGGTCGTAATTTTGCACCAGACGACTCGACATAGTCGTGAAAAGGATATTTACCACTGTTAAACTTAATTCTAAAATTAATTATGAATATAAATCTTTCTTACCTCATTGTTTGAAGAGCCAAGTTGTACAAAACACACTATTAATATGTGAAAGAAGTTACATTGTAAATTCATTGCAAAATATATTAAAATCCGTCTTAACACGTCCGAATCGATACGGATATTTAAAGGTAAGTAGAGGACATAGTCTTGGAAGTTTCACTAGGGACTGTAGAATAAAATCCATGCCGGAGTTGAGATTCGGTTGTAATAAGAAATCAAAACTATCGCAAATGTTTGTCAAACATTATCGATGTTTAAACTGTTGTTTGGTAAATTTATACAAGTCACGTGTTAAAGACCGCCGATAGTCAAAAAATTGATTAATCGATATATTTTGTTCATTGAATTATTATTATTATTATTTTTATATCATAAGGTGGCAAACGAGCGAACGGCCACCTGAAATCGCTGAAATAGCGAAGTAACCGTTGTCCATAGACATATGCAATTGCATATGCGTTGCCTACCTTTAATCGACGGAGGAGAGGATGCACAGTAAGAAAAAATATTTTCCCTTTCCATGCATCGTCTCATCCGGAAAGTCCACGTCCACTTCCCATCTTTTCCTTATAAAAAGAGGGTGGGAAGGGAAACAGGACTAAATTAGCCCTCCGGGACGCACACTCATCAGACGAAACGCGGAATTGCTTCCACTTCACGCCTGTCTTCTGTGTGGTCGTGATATTTCACCGGGAGAGCCAGGCCAATTCGTGCGAAGATGTTAAAGCGGGATCTACCACTGTAATTTTATAGCAAACGAATAAATAGTCACTTGATTACGCTAAATTAGCGAATTATTTACCTTCACGCCTGTCATACAGCACAGAAGACAAGCGTGAAGTGGAAATAATTCAACGTTTCACCTAAAAAGTGCGTGTAGAAGACGTAATTTTTATCCTCTTAACCCTTCCCTACCTTTTCTTATAAGAAATGGATCGACAGGAAAGATAGTTTCGGCAGAGAAGGATAGGAGGTGGTAATATCCTTCTCTGTCGATTAAAGATCATTCGTGTAGCAGCTAATGCTAAGAATTCTATCATCATTAGAGAACAAAATAAAGCAAAAATAAAATACAACTGAAAATATCATCACCAGCTCACTATATGTGGGCTCGGAGCCTATCCTAAGTTATGGGTGATTAGACCATAATCAACCACGCTGACCAAGTGCGGGTAGGTTGACTTCACACAAATCTTTGAATTTCTTGTCAGATATGTGTAGGTTGCACGATGTTTTCCTTCACCGTAAGATCGCATAAATGTACATATGTAAATCTGAAATCGAAAAACACATTGGTAAATGTCGGGATTCGAACCCAGGACCTGCGGATTGCAAGTAAAGTGCTTGACCCCTGAGCCACCGACGCTGTACTGACTATACAAAAGTATACAATAGATAGCACTTTGTATAACGTTATATAAACGAAGATACATTGATTTATTACTTTGAAACTCCCTCATAAATACAGATTAGGGTTTATACATAGACGAGTCATTTTTGTCAAGCAATCGAGCAAATAAATGTTGATTTATTGGGAATTTGTCGTTTCATTACAAAGCCTCGAAGCTCTGATATATTCATATACAATTGTCGCACATAAAAAAAACCTAAAAATACTTAATTAGTTACTAAAGTATGACAGTTTTAATGCATTACTAATCGTGAGTTTCTGAGTCCAAATTCTCTATATAAAACATATCATTCCTGAAATTATATTTGACAAAACAGAGATGACAATATGTTTTAAATAAAGATTTTCGTTTTAGAAACCCACGGTAAGACTTTAAGTGGTCGCTAGTGTGAGAAACATTTACGTTACACCATAAAGTCCTAGAGTTGTAGGAATAACAAAAGCCTGGATTATCTATAGATTCCATTTGTGTATCATACTAATATTATAAATGCGAATGTTTAAATGGATGGATGTTTGTTTGAAGGTATCTCCAAAACGACTCATCGGATCTTGATGAAATTTGGCACAGATGTAGACAATAGTCTGGAAGAATACATAGGCTACTCATCATGTTTATTATTAATTTCACGCGGACGGAGTCGCGGGCGACATCTAGTCTATATATTTATTTTAATTTTACCCGTGAGTTAGCATACAAAATCCACAGTATAAAAGTTCAATAAATCTTTAAAAATAAATATTATATGTTCAATTGAAATAAAATATCTTTATTCAAAACAGTATCGCGGAGATCAGTACTTGTCTCTTCTGCTTTACACTTCACTACATTACTGTGAAAGCACTATAAAAACATATATCTATCTCCTTAGCTCATATATATCTTTGATAGGTTAACACATAGAAGAGAAGTATGTTTATTTATTTTTTATATTTACACATACAAAATTAATAAGCTGAGTCTGCTATGCAACGTGAACACTATAAACATCATAAGCTCACTATGCTTCCCCACTGAGGGGCTCGGAGCCTACCCAAAGTCAAGGGTGACTAGGCCTTAGTCCACCACGCAGATTGGTTGTTGGTTAACTTCACACATATCTTTAAATTTCTTCTCAGATATGTGCAGGTTGCATCACGATGTTTTCCTTCACCATAAGAACGTCGGAATTAATGTACATATGTGAATCGAAAATCGAAAAACACATTGGTACATGTCGGAATTCGGACCCAGGACCTGCAGATTGCAAGTCAAGTGCTTAACCCACTGAGCCACCGACGCTCTGAGAACACTATGGTAACTAAATATTTAACCTAATTCTACATAGAAAATGTATATAACATTCATTGTAAAAAGTAATAAAAGTAAAAAGTCATGTGAAAACATTACTTCTAGACTCGATTCGCAAAAGGTAAAAAGGAGTTTCATATCTTAAAAGAAAATTATTTAAAAATTTCTTCATCGATAAAAAAGTCCACAAAAGAAACATTTATGATCGTTTTACTAAATTAATTCCAATAGAAGCAGCTAAGACGGAGTTCACAAAAGCCGAATTAAATTACTGTACCTCGATTGAATTTTAAATATCTTGATAAATTTCACTTATTTGAAGCCATTTTTACAACTAAAAATATACTGCAAATAAAATACCTTCCTAATAAACGGATACCGAAAAGTTTAATATACCAAAGAGGATATAGAACAACAATTGTATTTATTTCCCTTGTCCTTCCAATAAAGATTTATTACTTTGACGAAACAAGATACCTTTGAGTTTCAGTTGATTGGGCAAAGGATGGGCCGTTTTGTAGACAAAATTTATTGTGTTATCTAGTGTCTTAGATTGCTAATAATAATAATATGATTTGGTGTGATTTTTGCTGTTTCTTCAATCTTTTATTACATTCCGTAAACGTGTAATCTTGTGACGCCTGACAAAATTGAATAGCAATTTTATGAACGTTTTTATTTGCTGTTATAATTTAACGCTGGTTTCACCAGGCTCGTATATCGTATATTTCAACTATGCTGTGTCAATATTTGTTTACCAACATCAGAGTATTGACTGAAACGGTCTCCATTTATCTTAATTAGCGTTGGAGCGATACTTCGCATCCAGCGGAGCAGCGACATAAATTCGGTTTTAGAATCTTAATTTAATTAAATATTCAACTAAAATACGGGTTACCGTCTCAGATGTCACAAGACGGAAAATAATATTTATAACTAATAAACTTAATAATACTAAGTACTTATAGAAATAAACAAATACATTCCTATTTAATAATATATTTAAATTAATATATTGAACCGATTCACAATTCTATAAACAGCCAACAATGCGCCAGAATTAGCCTAGAAGATAGACCAAAAACAAAAGCAAAAGTCAAGTCGCGTACAAAAATACGAGGAATAATTAAAATTGCAAAAACATTGTCTAGGATTGTCAATTTGAATTATAAAATAAAATAATATTTATTGAATCGAATTAATCAATACTACGCTTTATCTTATTTTGTATTTTTTAACTATTAATCAACTATATCTAAAAATTACAGAATTTATCAGATAACAGAAAAAGATAGGCTATTATTTTAATCCTACAACACATATCTTAGTATATTTTTATTAAAGTGAGCAGTCATATTACCAAAAACAGCAAAAAAACATATAACCTCCAACCATAAAAAAATGTCCACAATTGACCTACAAACATAAAGAAATAAATTCCAAACCAAATACCTTTTGTTTTCAAATATATTAAAGAAAGAGGTCAAAGGACTTAATATAACTGTAAAATATAACAGTTCGAAATGTCTTTTTATGTTGATCCTTCGAAACTTCGGTCATTGACAGCCAGATTTCACACCAAGGTGATAATTGTCTCCTCTTCTAACATCAGGAAATTTAAATGCACAGAGCGAGACAGAAAATCAAAACGGTACTGTTAGGAACTGCTCAGTCAAGGACGAATGCACTCTATACGAAAGAGGTTCTTCAATCATTTTAGTATCTGTATTCCAACTTTAAAAGCTTGTTGTTTTTTCTTCCGCGCTCTTTTTTAATCTGTATTTTACTATTAATAAATTAAATTGCAAATATTTTAATTTTTTGGTAATATTTTATGGAGTTTTAATTTTTCATATAGCAACACTAAAGTTTTATCGGGGTAACGATTACGTGTTCTTTTGCCGCTTTTACGAATACCGTTGAAGCGAACTGAGTCAGTCGTGAACATTTCTCGACGCAAACCAATTGATCTAAATTAAAAAATAAAAAGAGAAAATTATTGCAGTATATTTGTGCAGTGAATTATTGTGTTTATAAATATTATTTTATTGGATAAAGTTATTTGAAGACGGTAAGTTTTTTTTTTTCAATTTAATTTTAATTAAATTACAAACTCGCGCATTTGAAATATTTTTATCTCTTTAGTTTTTAATATTTGAATATGGAATTTATATCAGCCAGTACAAAATAATATAAAAATAAATATTGATAAAATTTTATGCATTCCATTTGACAATAAAAATATTTTCATGATAAGTATTTGAAGTATAAATCTTTTCGTTTCATATCGTAAAATATTTGTGTCGTTGTTTATTATTTTTATGCAATGAATAACATGTAAAAATTTAAATAAGGTAGTCAAATCTACAATAGGATTAACGTCGGAGTCCATTGCCAATTTATTTTATTTTTTAAAAAATAAAAGAGATGGCAATATGTTGTACGGCTTATTCGGAATTCATACGGACAATTAATCAAAT